TTTCAGATCGGATTCAAAATGGCTGTCTGGCTGCCATTTTGTTTTAATGAATGGGCTTCTAGACCCATATTCTCCGACTTGTTTTGACTGATAATATTTTCAAATTTTAAATATTCATTATATATCATGTCATAGATAAACAGATATATTGGTTTGACTATCCTATTCAAAATGGCCGAATGGTGGTCATTTTTGTGCTAAAAAATCATCAAATATCAAGCATTTATGGGTGGATTTCCTTCAAACTTTTTATTTTTCAGATTGGATTCAAAATGGCTGACTGGCGGCCATTTTGTTTTAATGATTGGGCTTCTAGAGCCATATCTCTTAAATGCTTTGACTTATTATATTTAAATTTTATATATTCGTTATACATCATGTTATATATACATGTATTCAAAATGGCTGATTTTGAATGCTGTTCCAGAGCAATATCTCTCAATATGGACAAGTACTTGTTTGACGATCAGATACAAATGTCAATCATATTAATGTTAAAAAATCATATTCCTGACATGGTTATATTCCAGCTATATTACTACATGTATAAACAAAACTATATATCTTAAATTTGACAACTAACGGGGACTGTGCCATGCATGGCTTGTTAACTGAGTTTCGATATTTTCGCTGATAAGTGAAATCCCCTAAATTAAATCTATGTGAACATGTAAAATAATAATAAACTCATTTATTCCTTGACAAATTTGTGAAATGAAAACACTGAACAACTTTTTAGCTTCGCTGTCGACTTTGTCGAGTAGAGATTATCATATGAGTGATTGTTCGTCGTCCGTGTCAATGTTTTACTTTTTTGACTTCTTCTTGAAAACTACAAGCCTGAATGTTTTGATACTTGGTGTATATGTACCTTGGGTAGACCTCTCTTAGGTTTGTTCATTTCATGTTGATATCTTCAATTCTCTAATTTTGGTGAATATTTTTGTCATGTTTGGTAAAAAGTGATATTTTCGACTTCTTGTTAAAAACAACAACCGCAAGTCCGATTGCTTTGATATTACATATATAGGTACTACATGTGGACCTCTCTCAGATTTGTTCATTTTGTAATGATATATTTAATTCTATAATTTTGGTGAATATTTTTGTCATTTTTGGTAAAAAGTGATATTTTCGACTTCTTTTTAAAAACTGTAAGTCCAATTGCTTGGATATTACATATATAGGTACTACATGTGGACCTCTCTCAGATTTGTTCATTTTGTGATGATATCTTTTATTCTCTAATTTTGGTGAATATTTTTGTGATTTTTGGTAAAAAGTGATATTTTCGACTTCTTGATAAAAACCAAAAGTTCAATTGCTTTGATATTACATACATAGATACTACATGTAGACCTTTTTCAGTTTTGTTCATTTTGTGATGATATCTTTTATTCTCTAATTTTGGTGAATATTTTTGTAATTTTTGGTAAAAAGTGATATTTTCGACTTTTTGTTAAAAACTGTAAGTCTGATTGCTTTGATACTACCGGTATACATATTGCTCATTTTCTAATGATGTCTTCAGTTCTTTAATGAAATGTGCATTGCTAACAGCGGAGCTATCTCAGCAAATAGGCTGCTTGTTTTGTTGATGTCTTCTCTTTTGTTCTACTTGTACATGTTGATCTATGCCGCGTTACAAGCCTGTATTTGTTATAAACATGTACATGCCATGTTCAACTGGCGAGTTGATTCTTTGCATTGCACATTTACTATTATTGTTTATTTTGTTGCTTACTTCTGCAGGGGAGTACTTTACTAATGATGGGTACTGTTGCTGCTTTGCCTCAAGAACCTGTCAAGAAGACTTTGTTCATGGAAGACATGTCTGAAGAGCAGCTAGCAACTGCAGTAAGCAAACATAATGATAATAATAATTATAATTATAATAATAATAATAATAATAATTTATTTCAGTAAAGCGCCTTTGCCCATCATACAAGAATAAATTGTAGAGTAACAAAATTTAGTACAAATAAAGTAAAGTTAACACTGTCCTGCACAATTGTACAAATCATAAAAACAAAAGTTACTGCAAAAAGTCATTCCTTATGTTGAATCATTTGTAACTTGTTGAAATTTTGAATTTTTGTTTTTTGTTGGGTGAACATATTTTTGGAATATTTTTGCTACATGTATGATGAATGTTCTCAAACAGTGAACAAGTAATAGGAAAATAATACCACAGAAATATTATGAGTAAAACAGTAAGGACATATGTAAAATATGTATTAGAAGCCACATCCATAATAAAAGCCACACCCATTCTTTGAGAACCACAAATTCACTATTTCTAATATGTATGGCTTTCCATATTCAAAGCCACATCCCACTTGTACTGCTCTATTTTTAGTCTTCTAATACAGATTTTACAATACTGCCACGCCTTTGTGTCTACCTTTGTCATCGCTGAGTAAGCAAACATTGAAAGACAGCTACAAATCTCGACATGCCAATTTTTGTGAATTTGATATCAATCTTTTATACATACTGTAAAATACTTCGTTTTTGCTGGAATTAATTTTTGCTGAAAAGTTTTTTTAGGTGTTTCGTATGGAATTTATTTTCACTGTTTTGAATGTAAAATATAGGAGAAAAAAGTTATTCGCTGGATTTTATTTTCACTGAATTGTACTTTCAGCAGAAATTAATTCCAAGTGAAAATAAAGTATTTTACAGTAGTCTATCATGCTTGACCAGTTTACCTCTTAATCATCTGAGTGTAACACAAGATATTAGAGAGTACAGGGAAATGTAAGATGATGATGTTGTCACTTGCCTTTTTCTTTTATCTCTAGTATCTACTATATTTATAATATTTTGATATGTTAAATGATTCACCCATTTTTGTACACCAGTGACTTCTGTTCAGAATTGCCTTTAAACACCTCTCTGCAAATGAGTATTCAAAATCAAGTTCCGTTCTCAGCAACCAATCAGAACTTACCTTACTGGATGAGACTTGCTCTATTTTGTTGATACATTTTGTAACTCCTACATGTACTCAGAAAGAAGATGTCTGAACATGACTTGCATACATGTACACAGCTATTTGGTTAGATGTGAGTAGAGGCCATATCCACACAAGAAATACAGATTTAAAAACAAACAAACTTTATTATTACTGTGGTGCAGTGATTCACCTTCTATCTGGAATGTTGCAAGTTCAATCGCCTAAGCCAACAGTGCACTATAAATATAAACATGATTACATTCTGCCATTGGGACAAGGTAGTCCTATCAGATAGGGATGTGCACAGTTCCTGTCTCTGTCCATTTCCTCAATAACCATGTTTTTTTGCTGGTGAACTGGAGCCTATACATGGAATTATCTTTTATTGGCTTCCAAAATAAATGAATATAAATAAATTTTGTTTTGTTTTCAGCTTGAGTTGCCTGCTGGTTTAACCAATCTTGGTAATACATGTTATATGAATGCGACTGTACAATGCTTGAAATCTGTGCCTGAATTAAGAAATGCATTGCAGAAGTAAGTATTGAGTGGTGATGCAAGTCTTGGAATCTGGCCTTGGATTCACCCTCAGATTCCTGCCTGGGATTCAGTATCAGATTCTTTCATTGGATTTAGTGTCTGATTCTGTCATTGGATTCAGTGTCAGATTCTGTCATTGGATTCAGTGTCTGATTCTGTCATTGGATTCAGTGTCTGACTCTGTCATTGGATTCAGTATCAGATTCTGTCATTGGATTCAGTGTCTGATTATTTCATTGGATTCAGTGTCTGATTCTTTCATTGGATTCAGTGTCTGATTCTGCCATTGGATTCAGTATCTGATTCTGCCATTGGATTCAGTGTTTGATTCTGTCATTGGATTCAGTGTCTGATTCTGCCATTGGATTCAGTGTCAGATTATGGCCTTCGATTCTTGCCTCATTGGTGTCAGATTCTGATCACTATAAACAAAACAAACAACATTTCTGCCATGATTATAACACACCACATGCATTGACAAAAAGTGCTGCCCTGGTTAGTCGTCAAAATCTCATGATGTGTCTTTTTTATCAAACCAGATTAATTTTTAATCAAAATATCAAGGATTGCAATTAATGAATATAAGTGTGATCATGATTATTAAGTAACAACTGGCACATGAGTTGAGTCAAATCATATATGCAAGGCGGAGTCTGATATATCAATAAGTTCTCGACCTCACCATCAAACAAGGGGCGAAACTCCTATTCTGGCGTATAACTTTATACTATGATGTTTTAAGTCACCTATAGAAATGCAAATTTAGGTATTCATAAATTAGCACGTGGTGCCCATTTAAAATCAGCTTGCGCTGTGATCAAGTATCTCTATAAAAAGACTCAACACTTGGTGAGGACTCTCCTTCTTATTCCACTGTTAAGAAGTGGGTTGCTAACTTTAAGCAAGACAAGGAGAGTACCAAAGATGAACCAAGGTCTGGATGCCCAAAATCTGTCACCACGGACAATCAGGTTGAGACCATCCATTGAATGGTAATGAATTACAGACGAGTCGCTATCCAACATATCAGGCATTCACTAGGCATTATTATTACATATGTACTGCAGTTTATTTTGATTCGTCCCTGAAATCAAAATCGGTATTTCCACAACCCATATGCAAATGAGGTCTGAGAGCAAACAAAGTAGTCCCTTCAGGAGTACAGTTTTTCGAAATAAACAATATTTAGAAGTATGATATTTTCCTCTTGGGGTACATGAATATACTTGGCCGAGTGAAATGAAATTTGAACAACAGTAATGGTACTTTTAGGCAGTCAGTTATTTTGGCCCAAACTAATTTGCATATCACCCATGCAATAATGTTTTCGGTATTTTCACGGTCGATATGCAAATGAACATGGTATTTTCATTGGCTACCGAACTATTTTTATTTTGTAAACACATTTTCTGGATTTTTATCCAGTTCAAATCGTTCAACAACATTTTTGGCATGTAAAGTGTACATCACATGGAATACTACGATTGGGAGAACTTAATGTATGTTGACCACCTGGAAACCGAGTTTTATAAACCTTGAAGGGCTCTCAGAAGATCCACCAGCAGTAAAATCAGCGATTACTATGCAGCCGCAACCATCAGCATCGAGATACCAGGTTTCTGCTGGCGACGTTGGGGCGTTACTCAGTTCCAAATAAAAAATACCAACGCCAAAAGAGCAACATTTTAACCGGTAATCAAGACTCAGTCAATCCACGACCAGCAAGCAACATCACACACGAAGTTGTAGCGTGCAGCTCAGTGACAACCGCTGTCAACGAAAGTCATCCCGTCAGTGGAGTACCGCAGTTGCACGGCATGTTTGCCAATGCACAATTCTGTGGCGGACCTTTTAACTTCAACATAAACTGTGTATCATAGTCGTCCAGTTCAAGTTCTGGTTCTGCCATGGTCCCAACTAAACGTCAACGAGTTATTTATTCGGACAGTGACTCAGATTAGACGTCTGATTATTTTAATTTCAAACAAACAGTGACACGCATTCTCCGGGCGCGTTCGAGATGCGGTGTATACTGCTGTACTTTCACTCGCTTTGCTCGTGAAAGTATGGCCGCAGGATACACTGCATCACTCGTAAAAATAACTTCCATACGCAACGAAAGCCACGGGGAGGGTGTGGAGTTCTGTCATATTATGGCGCAGTGATGAGCAAGCTGTCTGCAAGGTGGGTGCCCCGAATGTTGACTCCACATCAGAAGTTGAACAGGTTGGAAGTTTCAAGGACGCTTTTGGCTTGTTTCCAGTCAAATCCTGGCAACTTCCTCCAGAGATTTGTGACCCAGGATGAGACATGGGTTCAACACTTTGATCCAGAATCAAAAGAGCAGAGCAAACACTGGACACACAAAGATTCACAGCCGCCCAAGAAGTTCAAGCAAGTGGCATCAGTTGGCAAGGTGTTCTGGGACAGCAAGGGAGTCATCATGATTGACTACAAAAATGTCAACAAATCAATGGTTCAGAACTGTGACAGTTAAAAGCAGCAATCAAAGAGAAAAGGAGAGGAAAGCTTCGAGCTGGTGTGCTATTTCTCCAGGACAATGCACCTGTCCACACAGCACTGGTGGCAATGGCAGCAGCAACCGAATGTGGCTTTGAACTCTTACTTGACCCTTCTTACTCACCTGACCTGACATCATCAGACTTCTACCAGTTTCTAAAACTGAAGTCCCACTTGCGTGGTCACCGTTTTGAGACTGATGATGACTTCATTCAAAATGTTGAGGCCTATCTAAAGGATCAAAATGAAACCTTCTTTCAGCAAGGAATAGGAAACTGCAACATTGATGAACAAAGTGACTATGTTGAAAAATAGTGTACGAATCTTCCTTCTGTAATGTTTTATGAGGAAGGCCGAGAACTTGTTGATCACCCCTCGCACAAGCTGCTCTCTAATTGGTTAGACAATCAGGTACCATATTTTGTTGACTATTCTGTATATTTGTATTTTTTTTAGATTCAAAGGTGGTATGACTGAAGGTGGTGCCATGTTACCAGCACAGTCTATAACAGCTGCATTACGAGAACTCTACACTGCTATGAATACAAGCTCATCTACAATTCCACCTATTGTCCTCCTACAAGTACTGCACATGGCTTTCCCTCAGTTTGCCGAGAAATCAGAACATGGTAGTTACCAACAACAGGTACATTTTTTTTGCTGTATTTAGGAAGCTGTATGAGCTCAAAATGTTTGAAATAGTTCTCTATCTGCTTCCTTCTGATGACATAATAAACTTAGCCCAAAATGGCCACCAAAATCTTGGAACGGATAGAGCAACAAGACTTTGTTTGCTTCTCAAATAGTATTTCATTTTCTTTTGTTATCGCCTCTTCTGTTCCAGTTACCATGCTTACAGATATGAGTGGATTAGTGGCTGAGATGACGTGAGACAATGAAACAGAATAAAAAGATCTTAGCGACAATTTGCGTTTAGGGTTTAGAGTGGTTTGTAATTCAGTAAATTTGTCACTAATATGGATCAAGCCTTCTACAGTTATGATTTTTTTTTTTCCTGAATTTTAACTCTGTACTCAAACATAAAGGCAGTTGGAGCCAAATTCAAATGTTGCTCTACTGAGCATGTTACTGCACATATATGCAATGCATTATGAGAGAGAACTTTTTATTGCATGTATTATTACCATCCTAATATGTTAATATAATGTTAATGTTTTAACAATATTACAGGTATAATAAATGTCTTGAAAAACATTTTTTTTTTATTTGCAGGATGCAAATGAGTGTTGGACACAGATTGTTAGATTGTTGCAACAAAAACTGCCTGGTGAAGGAATGGCGGAATCAAATGAAGCAGCGCCTGATAAAAGTTTTATAGATCAATATTTTGGTATTGAAATGCAGAGTGTGTATCCTTGCTATGCAAATATTAATACTTGTAATGGCATATTGTTAACACTAATAATAACATATTGATGAATACTGCTAATGACTCATTGATGAACACTTTCGACATCATGATGAACACTTATGACATCATTATGAACACTTGTGACATCCTGATGAACACTTGTGACATCCTGATGAACACTTGTGACATCCTGATGAACACTTTTCACCTAGATTAATAGATGAACACACTGTTTTATCTCTATAAATCTGCCAGTTTGTTTAAATATTGTTCATATATCTGGGTTTGTGTTTCTTAACGTTGTTCTTCCCAACTAGAATGAAATGTATAGAAGCAACTGAGGAAGAAGAGACCAAATCATCAGAAACTTTATATCAACTTAGTTGTTTTATATCACAAGATGTCAAGTACATGCAGACAGGATTAGCCTCAGTGAGTATTTATATGTACAACTGTCAAGATGAACTATAGAGGGCAGTCTCACAAACTTCCTGTTCCAATTCAATTTGACTAAATAGCAGCAATTTTGGTGTTGAAAATCATTTCTGCCATTCTGGAACCCAGATCTCAACCATGCATGGACATATGTCATTCAAACTTAGTATGTCTGTTGACA